AAGATTTGGGTGCCACTACAGGACTTTGGTTGCAACAATGATCTATATGGTCCCAGTTTATGTCAATAACGTCACACCTGTTTTGCTGCAGTAATAAAATCCTGCAAGAACAAGAGTGTGGACTGTTTTCATGGAGGGCGGGGAAAGGGCTCGTCTCATCCCTTAAGAGTCTATTTCCAGCTTTCAAATCCACGCCCCGTAAAAATGCCGCCTCCGCCCCGGATGGTCTGTTGAGCCCCACTTCTTACTGAGAGCAGGGGACCATTTGGCCATGCAGGGAGCTGCCTGGCCCCTTGTGTCTCTGCTGTTTTACCAGCCATCAGTGAGCACTGCAAATAGCGTCCTCGCGGGGAGGAGAAGCACCTTAGGCCTCTTGCAAGTGCCGCCCGCCTGCCCCAAATGCTTCATTCTGACATTTGTCAATTCCACCTGGTGCTGCAGTCAGCCCGGCTGGGTCAGGCCAGGCCCAGGCAGGACTTGCTCCCTCAGTCTCAGAACCGACTCAGGTCCATCCCTCTGTGCCGGCCAGAAGAGATCTGAGCACCCACCCCTCCCATTGCCTTTAGCTGGAGGGGGAAGGGCTGTGCCCTCCTGAAAATCGGCCATGGTCTCTCAGCTTCCTCAAGGAATAAGGCAGCGTCTGTCTGTCTCCCACTTGATTTACAGTGCGTGGGAGCTCCGAGTGCTCGATGCCTCTGAAACGCAGGCCCCAGGTAGGACAGGCTGGGCCCCCAAAGCAGGGAACACAGAAAGGCTGGGCTGAGAGAGTGATGGCCCTGCTGCAGAGCCGGGGTGCTGGGTTGAATTGAAATATTAAGATACCTGATTATGATAGTACCAAGCCCAGCAGCATTAGAGAGACCACTCAAGCAGGAGCTCTGTCAGCCCCCTTCATCAGGCCGGGCACGGACCCTGAATCCTCTCCAAAAGCCCTGGCACTGATGGTGGCCCCGGTGGGCTGGGAAGAGTGCTAAATTGGGGCTGGCTTGGACCTGCAGTGCCAGCCTCTGTGCATTAGCCAACCCCCTTTATGGAAAGTGTTTTGCCAAAGCCCGATGAGGGTGATGGCAGCAGTGGGACCGTTGTGAGAACATCAGAGCGGCGGTCATAAAGCAGCGGACACCTAAACCACCCAGCAAGAGCTGCAAGGCGTGAGCTGACGGGTCATGCAGGGTCTGTAGTCTTGGCAGGTCAGGCACCTATAAATAGACTGGACAAGCCACATGCCTTGAAAAGGCGCCAACTGGTACAAAATGTTGCCGCATGCCTCCCTAGCAAAACAATTGGCTGTGAATGCATCGTGCCAGTGCACCGTCCTCGGCCCTGGCTCCCCAGTGAATACCCAGGCCAGCTCCAGGTCTCCAGCTCTGCATACGGGCCCTCTGCTGGCCTAGCCCTGGCTCCATGAGAGCCCACCGTTCCTTCTGCCCCCGTGACGTCCCACAGCACCTCTCGACCCAGCAAGTCAATTCTCCCCTAGACTCAAGAGGGAGGGAGTTATTTCTAAACACTTGGGAGGCAGCTGTATTGATCCCCAGAGGGCATCTCTACAAGGACCAACCAGCAAGTGGCCAGCGTTGCCGGCAGAGCATTGCGTCGGGTTGGGTTTTCAGAACTAGGTTTCACCTCCCGGACAGTAGCCAGCACGATGGCCCACAGACGACCCAGGCTTTCCAGCCAGCTATGCAGGGAGCCTTGCCATGATGACACCTGTTCCCTGCTGCGTTTGATCAGTCCCTGCTGGCTGACCAGAGCCCGGGGGAGAAAACGCTGCTCAAGCATTGCGGGAGAAATGCTGGGTCTCCTACCAGTAGAGAAGGGGCATCACTTCAAGCTGCCCCAAGGGGGTTGTCTGTTCCCGCTGGGATGGGAATAGGCCAAAAATAAGCCATCGAAGTCATATGCAGAGAAAGGGTCTCAGGATTTCAGGTAACGATACTGAATGCTGGCCACTCCCGCTCACGTGCCATAGCTGAATAAGTGTGATCCCCACTGTATAGGCTCGGGGTGAAGTGATTCTCCAAAGCTCATGGGAGAGGGAGAATGAAAGCCCAGAAGTTGTTGTTACCCAGGTCCACGAGGGCACCTGATGCAGCCTTTATGGAGACAGGTTATCCTAGAAAAACCCAGGTTTCTCCATTTATTAAAAGGAAACTTAATTCACCTCCACTGAAAGGCCAGTCCTGGCCACAAGAAACCTAACAAGCTCTGTTAAGGAGATACATGAGCTGCCTTTTTTATAAGCCTAGTAACTTACCCATAATTCCCTTTCTTAAAGGAGAAATTCATCATTTCCTCTCAGCTGACTGGGGGGGGGGACTGCCTTTGATGCATCTGTGTCATATGGGGCAGGGGACAGAGCAGGCAGGTGGCCTCCATGCAGCAAGCGGTAAGGGCCCCGGGCCACAACATCACCGGGGTTAGGGGACTCATGGTAAAACAGCAGGGGCGGCTCCTTTGAAAGCACTTAGCCTTTAAAACTACTGCTGGGTTTGCACCCTGCTTTGGGGGCCTGATCTGGAGAAGGTTGCTACAGGCCAGCCCTGCATTTTCCTGGGGAGTCGGTCGTCCCCTCACAGGGGATTAGGAACCAGGACTCCTGGCTTAGCCACTGACTAGTGCTGGGACGGTGAGCCTGTTTACCCCTCTGTAAAATAGGGCTGATGCTGAGTCCGGGGTCTGAGGTCCCTCTGAGCAACACATGTCCTGGTTTTAGAAGCCTTGGGCTAATTTCTCCCCTGCCCATTTGGGGTTCGGTGTGAGCTGCACCCCCCGCCCCCAGACTTTTGCACCCAAGTGCTGCAGCACGGTCTGTGCTAGACGCTACACACCCTGGTAAGGAAAGGAAAAGATGTGTGGGGCGGGGCTGGCTGGGCAGGGGCTGGTTAGTTGGGAAATCTGCCTCGAGAGGTAACCCCTTACAGGTCTGTGGCACTGGAAGACCCCGCCCCCCCGCTTGTCCTATGTCCCTGGGAACCTGCCATCAGCTAGTGGGTAGACGGGTGGCCAAGCAGGGCTCAGAAATGGTCAGTGAGCTGGTCCATGTATTTGTTTGCACTCGAGAGCTACTTAATTAACTGACCCGTACCATCTAAGTGCGCGCCGGGCTCGTCTGTGTTACCCCACGGTCCTAGCCCCGTTACCCGCAGCCTTGTTACTCCAGTCGCTCGCTCGTGCTGCTGCTCTCATTTGTTGCATCTGGTCCTGCGTTCAGTCGTCTCGCTTCGAAGTGGGGACCGCGGGTTCGTATGCATCTGTACAGCACCCAGCACCACGCAGCCCTGATTCTGAATGGGGCCGCTGACCCCTGGAACAATTCCCCAAAGAGCTCCTGGGGTGGTTTGGCACCAAACCCTCCCGCTTCCCGACGCACCTGCCCAGCTGCCAGCGGCCCAAAGGGAAAGTCCCATTCCTCGATTTAACGGGGAACCCCACGGCCACCAGGAGCTGATCTGATGGTTTAATTGACTTCCTGTGTCAGTTACTCAGCGCAATCTGGGAGGGCCGTGGCAAGAATGGGTCACGGCGCCCAGTAGGTTCCGGACCTGAGCCCGGCATACTCCTTCGCCGTGTCCGAATGCTTTGCCTCGGTCCGCTCCCCCGGCTTGTGTTGGGTTTGAATCGTTCACTGGCTCCTTCTCCTGCCTGCCCTTGTGACGCTGGGGCCGTCGTGGATTCCCAGCGCCAGGTACCGTAGAGCTCAGGATGCCAAAAGCGCGCATGCCTGCTGCAACGTGGGTTCTGCAATGGGCCTAGTCAGTGCTGGATTTTACAGTGACCCGGGAGAGGTAGGGTGGCCTAGTGGTTGGGGCTCTAGCTTAGCACTTGGGAGACCTGGCTTCAATTCCCTGCTCTGCCACCGACTTCCTGCGTGACCTTAGGCATCTCCCTTAGCTCCCCGACTGTACAATGGGGATACCTGCCCTGCCTCTGAGGGGTGTTGCATTGAGGATTGGGAGGGGCTCAGACACACTGGTGGCGGGGCCACGCGCGCACCTAAGATAAACAGAAAGTACGTCAGACTCCGGGTTCTCCAGTTGCCTCGTGAAAGCAGCGTGTGCGAAGCCAGGCGCCGTGCGCCATCCCAGCCACCAAAGGAGATCCAGCGTTTGCGAGACAGTGGCAGCCTGTGCCTCGCTGTTGGGATTTCCGTGACTCCAGGGGGGAGCTGCTGGACTAGTCCCAGTGTCTCTGGCATAGCAGGGCTCCCAGCAGGTCTCTTCTAGGCCTCCTCAGCTCATCTCGAAGAACATGAAGTTCTGGGAAACAGTGAGAAGAGGTTACAAACAGGCTTCCCTGGACATGGGGGGGGGGGGGTAATCCCTATGTTCCACACAAAGATCGAGAGGGCGTCCTATGCACCTGACTTTACCACTCCTCTGAGCGGGGGATGGGGAAATATAATAGAAATATAATGAACCCAAGAGCGCTGCCAGCCAACGCCCAGCGGCTGCAGCTTAACGGGCACCTAGTGGAGCAGATTGCAGCTACCCTCCTCTGCAGTACAGGGGGCCGTGGGAGACCGGTCCCAGCCCGCAGGGCTCTGCCTTGATCCAAGCGATCACCACCTGGGCCGGGGGGAGCGAGGAATGTTTAAGCTCCACGAGTGGCACAGGCCGCGCCGGAGAACTCTGTGGCCAGCCCAGCCGGATCTGCAGCCCCACGGCTCCGCCAGACACAACCAGCCACGTCCTATGCTAGGGGTAACCGGCTCCCCGAGCTGGCATGAGACCGGTCAGCTCAGTCCGCTGTCTGGGGGGCGTGACACTGCCACGATGCATTGCCCAGCCCGCTAAGCGGGCAGAATCCGTGCGTCCATGGGTTTCACTGCCCCCTACTGGCTGACCGGTTGTGCGGTGAACATGTCGCCCTCTGGTGGCGGCTGGCTGGAAGAAGCGAAAGCCCTAATGCGGCTCAACAGGCGGGAGCGTCTCCCTGGGTTACGGCTAACGAGAAAACACACTGATGCTGCTGCCTGGAGCGCTGTGGGTGTGCAGCGCCCTGCACGGCCCGGGCCGGAGACGGTACGCTCCGTGGAGCGGGGCCTAGTCGAAGCGAGGTGGCTAAGGACATCACAAGGCATGGCAGCTGATGGGGGAGAGGGGGAATGGCAAGGAAAAGGCAACGTGGACCCTGCCTGTGCACAGTCATCCCCAGCTCAGTGCCCGCGCAGGTGTGTGGGCTGCGGGGAGGATGGTGAGGAGGAGGGCTGGCGGGGGGCGGGGAGCTGCGTTGTCTTGGGCCTAGTGTAACCAGCCGCCGGAGGGGAACTAAGGCAGCGAGCTGGCGGGTGCGGGGCAGTGAGTTTAGGTAACACCATGCCGTGTCGGGCAGCAGCTAGGAGAGCTCGCTAAGACCCCCTCAACAGAGCTGTTCGCTAAGGGTCAAGCTGAACCCGGGCGCCCTGCTGCCAGAGGTCGCTGGCGAGGCCCTTTCGCTCCTGACCCCTCCGGTTGTTCGCCGGGGTAGGGCTGGACGGTTCAGTGTCCCTGCCCCAGGACTCTGGCCCACGTGAGCCGCTGGCAGGGTGGCCAGCCCACGAGTGCGAGCAGGGGGCAGAGGGCACGGAGGGGAGGGCTGGCGCGTGAGCGGGCGGGGAGGGTTCGGCTGCTGGCACTTACCAGGAGGAAGGCTGCTGCCAGCAGGAGAGCGGTGTCCTCGGCCCCCAGCTTTGCTGAAACTGACAGAGAGATGGTGGGAGGGCGCGTTGCCCACAGCTCAACTATGGGTACGGGGGGCGATGCCAGCACCCTCCCGGCCCCAGAACAGCCCCACTGCTCGGGTTCGGGGGCCTCTCTCCCACATGGGATGTTCTGCGGCCTCAGGGGGCAAGCGGCCCGTCTGCATCCTCTCCTGCCAGGTGCTGCTCCTCTCCCTGGCAAGGGCATCCTAGAGGAGAGCCTCTGCTCTCTGGGTGGCCTAGACACCGCAGGGCTCTTCGCCACCACCCCGGGGCTCTCCCTGCAGCTCACTCTATGGGTGAGGCTACTAGGGACGGGAGGAAATTAAACCAGTGCCCATCTCCACGGTGACTGTGCCCCCAGAGCCCGGCCAGCCTGCCCATCCCAGAGGCGGACGTTGCTGGGGGACTCTCCCTAGCAGCCTAGCCGCCCTGCGCTCCCCACTTACTGTCCACCCCAAAGAACTCATGGTCCATGTTCCGGTCTTCATTGAAACCTGGCCACCTCTTCCAGATCACTGCCACGGGGCTGCCGGCGCGGGAGGTGACCTGGGCAGGTGGACAAGGACGAGCAGCTCAGTGCCAAGGCCGTGCTAGCAATGGGCTGGGGCTGGGGACATCCCCAATGGGGGTTCTATCAAGGCCCCAGCTTAGCATCGTCTCTAGACTACATAAGAACATAAGCGCTGCCCTACTGGGTCAGACCATGACCCATCTTGCCCAGTGTCCTGGCTGCATCCATGGCCAGTACGAGAGCGTTCTGGGGGGGGGGGGGCTGTTCTGAACAGGGCAATTATGGAGTGATCCACCCCTGTCTTCCACTGCCGGCTTCTGGCAGTCAGAGGTTTAGGATCACCTTGAGCATGGGGTTGTGTCCCGACCATCTTGACTACTAGCCATCGATGGACCTGTCCTCCTCCAGTTCTTTTCTGAGCCTAGTTATGCTTTTGACCTTCCCAACATCCCCTGGCAAGGAGTTCCACAGGTTAATTGTGCATTATGTGAAATACTTCCTTTAGTTTGTTTGAAACCTGCTGCCTATTAATTTCATTGGGTGACCTCTAGTTCTTGTGTTATGGGAAGGAATATATAACTCTTCCCTATTCACTTTTCCCATGCCAGTCATGATTTTATAGACCTCTGTCATACCCCCCATTAGTCGTCTCCTTTCCAAGCTGAAATGGGCCCTGTCTTTTTAATCTCTCTTTGCATGGAGGCCATTTCGTACCCTTGACCATCTCTGTTGCCCTTCTGTGAACCTTTCCCAGTCCCGCTGCATCCTTGCTGAGGTGGGCTGACCAGCGCTGGGCACAGTATTCACAGTCTGGGTGCTTGTGGACTTTACACCAATTACTTCTATCGTGTTCCTTCCTGTCCACGTTCACCCACACTGTATAGCCTGCCTGGCAAAGGAGTGAAGCTGCCAGCTAGGTAAGAAGCCCGTGTTGCTGTCCAGAGAGTGTAGACAATCCAATGGAAACCAGAAAGCCCCACCCCCATCCCTCCCAAAACGGCTAAGGTCTGTTTTTGGCAGGAGCCCCAGGGAGACGCGCTGCCCTGTTCCACCTGCCCCCCTTACCTGGAACTCCTGGTTGGAGGAGCAGCGGCTGGCCGCACAGGAGCCTCGGATCCTCATGGTGGCTGCGCCGTGGGGGTCACGCAGGTCCCAGAGATGGGCAAGGATGCCCCACCTAGACACAGAGCATGGCGTGTGGTACAGCCAGGCCGTGGGCAGGGCAGAGAGCCCCGCGCCAGCCAGAGGGGCGGCTGGAGCCCCCGGACTGCACTGCTGGGCATGGGGCAGGGTCTGATCATTGGTCCATCTGCCCCCCTGCAGTCTGGCGCCTTAGGGGGGGCGCTGACCCCGGTTCACCCACGCTGCCCCCACCAGCCACTCGTCCGCGTGGGGCCCGGCTCCTCTCCATGGTGAGAAGCAATCCCTTCCTGAGCCCTGGTGCCCGAGTCCACGGTGCCCTCACCTCTGCCGCACGCTGCCCACGAGCTGGTCACCGGCGGTGAACACCCTCATCTCTGTCCGGCAGCAGCCCAGGCAGCTGGCGCCAGCCCCGAAGGGCCGTCGGAGCCACAGGACGTCCTGGCCCTGCAGGTCCCGGAGGCGGATGCGGCAGGAGCGGGCAGGGCCACATAGGTGCAGGCACAAGCGGCTGGTTTCTGAGGCGGGCACAGAGAACGGTGCGGATCTGGCGGCCATCACACAAGGGGGAGACTGTACCCCAATGCCGGGGGCCGGGGGCTGCGCTGGGGGCCTGCGTCCCAATACCAGGGGGGAGCGCTGCGCTAGGGTCTGCGCCCCGATGCTGGGGGCCGGGGGCTGCGCTGGGGGCCTGTGCCCCGATGCTGGAGGAGGGGGCTGCGCTGGGGTCCTGTGCCCCGATGGCCGGGGGAGGGGCTGCGCG